GATCACAAAATGCCCTTTTCTCACCAGCTAGTCTTCAGTCACAATATTTCCTTAAAGCTGATTATTATTTTACACACACAGGAAAGACAAACACTCATATTCATAACTCATATCACCCAAACCTGCATTTGGCACAGAAGAACGTCACATGTGAATTAAATTACTTGTTATAAGCACGAAACCTTCTACCTACTCCGCACACTGATAAAGGATGTAGGACAGAAGCACAGGATAAAGCGGAAGGAAAATGTTAAATCCTGAATCCTAACTCAGTAGAAACACTTAGTGGGACATGGGTGGGATACAGCTCAGCCTAGATGTTTAATTCATTTTTATCCGTTTCTGATGTATTCTGAATTGCCTGGTGCTGGAGGGAAGATCTGATGGATGGAACAATTAATAGATTGGCCACAGCATATCTGCTGTGCCCATCAGGGGAGCCAAAAGGTAGGATAATGTGCTGGGAAAAGGGTAAATGCTGAGTTATTGAATGATGGCTACTACAGAAAAGGTACTGATAGACAGATCTGAAAGAAAAATGGATCTGTGTCTTTGTTCCATGAAATTACTGTACTTTCTCTTATTTATATTATGTATTATTTATATTACGCCCATGAAGCCTGTATCTCTCATTTACTCTTTGACATCTGTAATCTCCAAATCCATAGCCTCTCTTTGTTGTTTTACTCCTTCCAACTTGTCAGAGACAAGACATCTATAGAGACTGCAGCTGCCACTCTAGAACTAAAACCCCAGAGTTTTGCTTATCTTGGGCTGGGGTGGGAGTAAAACACTGAGGAAGAACTTCGGTTAAAGTGTTCGGTGGCAAAGCACAGATACTCTGCAACTCTGTGTATTTGGCCCAATGGACATGGTCTCAAGATCCTTTACTGACATGTGCATTCTCAATGATACGAGAATAATGACAACATATATGATAAAATTTGAAAAGGTAAATATATTTCTATACTTCGTGACATTATTTCACTAACTACAAGGGATACAAGTCTCAGTGTTCAAAAACTGAGTACTTTTACCTACCTGAAGAGTAGCTGACTCTTAATAAAAAATACCATATCCAAATAGCTGGAGTGGAGGGTTAAAAGAGGAAGGGAAGGGAGGGGGCAGAAGCAAAAGCAAGCCAATTCTGAATGGAAACGAAAAGGTTAGAAGGAAGACAGAACAAAGCACTACAATAGTCCGTGCTTTGTAGCTGTTTTCCCCTAACATTTCTTCAGTACGCCCTGAACATCCAAGGTTCAAAGTTGCCCAAAATTTCAGGTGGTTTCCTAAATAACAACGGCTCTATCTCTTTATAGGCTCATAGATATTCACTCAGAGTCACGATCAGATACACAGGTGAAGGTCCTTGAAAGGCCAGGCTTTCTGTGGGTTAGCGAAGGTCACCCGCCCTCCCAGGTGCACAGGGGAGGGCAAGAGAACCGCTAACACACTTACTGATGCAATTTCCCAAGGAAAGCACCTTGAATACCTACAAGTATTCAACTAAGTTCCTAGTTAGTCAGCAGGCTAATAAAACCTCTCCAAAGCAGGATTTACATTGGATTTTTCAAGGCTGGTGAGGGCTATTGCTATACAGGATATTTAACAGTTAAGCATAAACTTTCAAACTCATCACCTTCTATTTTCATACCAGCTTTCTAAGGAGGCTATTTCAAACACAGCATTTCTGAAAATGTCCTGCCAGCTGAACCTCAAATTACTCATTTTTATCTTCTCTTTTCTGCAGCCGATCAAGGCTCTGTATTTGTCAAAAAAAGGAAAACCAGGAAATGATTCACTTAAGACACGCATGCAATTACCACAAAAAAGAATCAAAGTCGAAGGACTCGGGCAATTCCCCCAAATCAGATCCCAGGCATGGCAAGCAATCAAACCTGACTTTGAGGATGAGATGTAGCTGCATAAGCGAGGTGTATGAATAAGTAGGTGCAGCTCAGCCACATTTTCTTAAGCAAAGAGGTTAACAAACATATTCCCAGCTTGTGTAGGGCTGCTATACACATTAGGCAGAATGTACAGGCATTTCCTTCACCTCCCTTTAAATAAAATGGTAAAGAATACTTAATTTTTACCATTATGACCAGACTTAAAGTGCCCAGAATGAATGAGCAAGAGAGCTCATTTTTTCAAGCTAAAAAGTAAACTGAAACAAATAAAAAAACCTAGCATTGAAACGATCACATTTCTGGTTTTGATTAAAAAAAAATTAACAATTTGCCACTTCTAAAGTCTGTTAGCTGAGAACAGTCTTCCTGCTAATAGCTTTCATGCTGTGAACACCGTAGTCTGGAAATATATAAAAGTAGTTGAGTAGAACATCATCACATGCTGTTTAATGATGGCTGCTTACTGACTTAACTCATTCTGTAGCAAAGGTTAAATTCTAAGCGGGACTGTGATACTGAAAACAGGAAAGTAGATAT